ACCGCGGGTCCCCCGTTCCAGCCCCGGGGCCCGCACGCCAGCGCGGCGAGCAGGAGCCCCCCGCCCCAAGCGCGGGAATCTGGCCTCCCCGTCACTGGTCCCTCGCGATCCCGAAGCCGCGGGCTCCCCTCACATCCCAATCAGGTCCCGCGCACCGCCCTGCCTGGCGCTCTATTCCCCAGTCCTGCCCAACCCCAGCCTCGGCCTCGGCAGTTCCTCTCCCATCGCTGCCCCATCACCCAGACCCAGTGTCCGGTCCCACCTCTTCCCCCATCCCAGCCCACATTCCTGCTCCTCTTGCCCTCCCCCAGCCTTCCCCCTCCCTGACGCTGGTGCCCGCTTCCCTCCAAGCCTGGGCCTCTGTCTGGAGGTAGACCCAGACGAGGTTACCCCCCCACACCCCGATCCCTTCCAGAATGAACTGGCCAGGGCTGCCACCCAGCCAGCCACAGCTCAGAGTGCCCAGTGCGTCGGCAGGGCCAGAGCCCTGGGTTCAAGTCACCATGGGATTCCTGATAAGCAGTTGCTCTTAGGCAAAGCATTTCCCCTCTGAGAGCTCTCAGTTTTACCTTCTGAGAAAGGGGATAATCATTGAGGCCCTGCTTACCTCACAGGGCTGTTGCGCTAGTAGGGGTACCAACTTCTCTGTGGCTTAAGAAACCTTCCGGAACAGCTGCTATTTCGTGAGTGTATACTATCTGCCGGGCACTTAACACACTCATGAGGTATCTTTTTGTCCACAGATGGGGAGAACTGGGCTCAGAGAGGTTAGGTAACTTGTCTAAGGTCACACAGCTAGAAAGTTGTAGACCACAATGCAGGACCTGGTGCCAAATTCCAAGCTTGTTGGACCCTGCCTCACTCTCATAAGTATAATGATGTAATTATTATGATTGCTCTAACTATTGCAGCCCAGACCCTGAACTCTGCCCTCATGCCATTTGTGTTGCCCAGGACTCAGGGAAGAGAACCTTGTGCCTGACTCTTGGGTGGTCCACCACTCCAGTTTTAGCTCAGTAGAGACCTCTTTCCCACACTGTTCAGAGGAGAGAAGACTTTTGAGTTTAGTGCTATGGTTAATAATAACCAAGGAAACTTTTAGACCCCCCCCACCCCCCTGCCTCTCAAACTAGATAACTATAGAAGGAACCAGAAGAGAGGTCTTGAGCCCTCCACACACGCCCCAACCAGTGTGTGTTCTCTCCCTCTTCTCTCCTTCCCCATGAAGGGAAGCCCCAGGGGGGCTCCGTGGCCATCCAGCTCCCAGGAAAACTGTTCACTGACTTTGAGGCCTGGGACCCCCACAGACCACAGGGAAGGCGCCCCGAAATCCTGGGTCCTAAATATTGCCACTCTTCCTTTGATGCCATCACTGTAGGTAAGATGGTCCCATCTGTGCCTCACTGCTTTTTTCTTCCTCCTCCACATCTCCAGGGGTCTCCAGCGCTGGAATACGAGGTGGGGTTAAGAATTAAAAAGTCCGGGGTGCCTGGGTGGCTCAGTGGGTTAAGCCTCTGCCTTCAGCTCAGGTCATGATCTCGGGGTCCTGGGATCGAGCCCCACATCGGGCTCTCTGCTCCATGGAGAGCCTGTTTCCTCCTCTCTCTCTCTCTGCCTGCCACTCTGCCTACTTGTGATCTCTATCTGTCAAATAAATAAATAAAAATCTTAAAAAAAAAAAAAAAAGAAAGAATCCAGAAATCCCAAGCCACAAGCATTCTGCAGGGGTAGCAAGCCAATGCCAAGCAAAACCCTTGCTTCCTCCTGCATGCCTTCCCCAGCTGTGCTCGCTACATCCTCTCTCCTGAGTCTGGGAAGCTGGTTCTAGGAAAGCACCTTCCCTAGAAAGAAGGCGAGAGGCTGATGGTCACTCAACTCTCTTGTCTCCGGACAGATGGGCAACAGAGACTGTACATTTTTCAAGGAAGCCACTTCTGGGAGGTGTCCGCGGATGGCAATGTCTCAGAGCCACGCCCACTACAGGAAAGGTGGGCGGGGCTGCCCCCCCACATTGAGGCTGCTGCCGTATCATTGGACAGTGGAGACTTCTACTTCTTCAAAGGTACCAGCCTTGGGGCAGATGAGAAAATTGAGGCCTAGAGGAGGGAGGTGTTCTCTCCCAGGTCAAAAAAGGGGTGGAGTCCCGATTCCACTCTGAACCTGTGGCCCCAGGGAACTCTACCAGGAGGTTCCTTCAGTGATGGATTGCGGGGCATGGGTGTTGAGGTTGTCCCAGAGAGAGGGTGGGAGAGCTGCAGAGGAGGAGAGCAGAGGACCACTCCTGAGCTCTGCAGTCCAGCAGAAGAATCCTGCTTCCTTGGAATCCTGGCTGTGTGAGGTTGGGCCTGTCACTTGGACTTGAATTATCTCGAATGGGAAAAATAATCCCTCAAGTGTGTTGGGGAAGGAGGATTAAAACATGTCACAAGGAGTGTGCAGTATATTTGGGTAAATAGTTTCACTCATCCAACAAATATTGAGTGCCTTTCACGCATCAGACACAGTTGGGAGTGTTGGGATACAGTCGTGAACAAAACAGAAATTCCTGCCCTCATAGAACTATCCGCAGAAATGGTGGTGACTGGCCTTCCCTGTGGTCCACTGCCCATTCAGGGAGATGCCCCCGCAGCGCTGTCTGCCCTCTGCTGACACCTGCTGGAAGTTGGCCACTTACTAGTACTGTGAGATCCATTTTGATGATCACAAGTACTGACCACGTTGGGCTCCAACATGAGGGGGAACACGGGTCTGGGGGGACAGAGGTGAGGTGGAGGACCAAAGGGTGACAGCCATCAGCTCACCCTGGATCTCCCGATGCCCTACAGGGAGCCGATGCTGGAGGTTCCGGGGCCCCAAGCCAGTGTGGAGTTCACCACAGCTGTGCAGGGCAGGGGGCCTGCCCCGCCACCCCGACGCTGCCCTCTTCTTCCCTCCTCTGGGCCGACTGGTCCTCTTCAAGGGTGCCCGCTACTATGTGCTGGCCCCAGACGGACTGCAGGTGGAGCCCTACTACCCCCGAGGCCTGCGGGACTGGGGTGGTGTCCCCGAGGAGGTCAGCGGTGCCCTGCCACGGCTGGATGGCTCAATCATCTTCTTCAGAGATGACCGCTACTGGCGCCTTGACCAGGCCAAACTACGGGTGACCACCTCAGGCCGCTGGGCCGCAGAGCTGCCCTGGATGGGCTGCTGGCATGCCAATTCGGGGGGCGCCCTCTTCTGAAGATGCTCCCACCGCTTAGTGAATTGCTGGTGCCCTCGTGGCCAACGTGTATCCTCTGCCCCAGGAGAAGGACCTGTCTTGGAAGCCTCCGAGCCTCCCTGCACAAGACCAGGCAGGAAAGTTAGCATTTGTGCCCTGGAGAATGGCTTTGTGCTCTTCAGACATCGATCTTTGTGGGATCAATCCAGGAGAAACCAGAAAGGGTGTCCAACCCCACAGCCCTTCCCCTGAAGGACCCTCCTCCCCAAGCCTTAGGGATTTTGTTTCTTCTGCTAAAGGCACACTTCTGTCTGGGAGGCAACAGCACTGGGCGGCCAGGGAGGGTGCAGAACTCGATGGAGAGGTTGGGACCACTTTGCAAGACTGTTTCCTTCCTCTCAGGACCTCCTGGCTCAGTTTTTGGAGAATTGTGTCTTTTTAAATGAGAAGCCTCACCTCCAGGAAACGGGTGGGTTGGGTACAAGGATTTCCAACCTCAGAGAGCCTTGGGGGTGATAGTGGGAGGTCAGCACCCGGAGCAAGAGGGAGACTGATGCAGGCCTGCTGGGCGCCATTTGGGGGGGGTGGCTGAAATAAAGCGGAGCCCCCAGCTCGTGGGCCCCAAAGCAGGCATCAGCCTTCCTTGGAATGGTTTCCAGTGAGAGCAGGTGGGGCACGGATGCTGGAGAGGCTGGAACCACGTTCTTTTCCATCCAAGCCAAGACTACAGACTGTGAGTCCTCGTGATGGGGAGAGGTGGCCTGAAAAAGCAAAATGTCCCCATCCTTCCTCACCCCCAGGCTAGCTGGGGAGCCAGGGGTGGCAGGGAGAAGATGGGGCCTCTCTGGAGGGCAGTGCTGCTGCAGGCGCTGGGGTCCCTGCAGGCTAGGGGAGGCCTGGTGCTTACAATGGCCCCATTCTTCAGGCCACACACGCAGCGTTCCAGGAGCTGGCTGGCTGGCCAAGAATAGCTGGGATTCCTGGAGAAGGAACCAGCTCTCCAGCCTCTCTTGTCTTCGGCCTCAGCCAATCTCAGCGTTTCAGCATCTGGTTCTCTTGTCCTCCCTGCCCCCCACCCCCCACCCCACACACCTGCCAGTGCCTCATTTGCACAAACACTGACCTCAGCAAGACCAGGCTTCCAGGGGAAGGGGAGAATGACTGGCAAGATTCAGCCCTCATCTCCCCAGGGGCATTCCTGGCCCTCTGCCTTCCTTTTCTTCTCTGTGCGGTAGGGGGTGGGGGTGGGGGGGTGGCCTTTGACTGCCCTTGGATGCAAGTGCTTTGTTCCACCCTGTCCTGGGGGAGATGGAGGGAGAAGGCGCTCTGCCTGCCCTTCTCCCTCTGACCTGAACCCTGGGGAAGGCGAATGAGGGTCTTTATAACCCTCAAGGGAGCCACCTGGCCCCACTTCAAGGCTCTGACATTTTGTTAGAGGTTTTATTGGGTGATTGGAAAGGCAGGGGCAAGTTTCTCAGCCGCGAGGGAACCCAGGGGTTAGTTTCTCTAGGCGACGCCTCTGCCCACTGGGCCAGAGGACCTGATCTACCCCGGAGATATGAGCCTGCGCCAGGGGATGCGAGTCAGGCGGGCGGGAGGTACTGGGTGCCGCTCGGAGGGGAGCTCTCGGGAGGCGCTCCAGGTGACATTGGGCTCAGCTTTGGGTGGCGCACGGTGACAGGTAGGAACGCCCGCGGCGACCGTGGGCCGGCCTGCGGGTTTGGAGAAGGCGTTCTGGGAAGGAAGGGGCAGTTCTGTGGAGTGTGCGGGAGAGCGCTCCACATCGGAGAAGAGGAGGTGGTGGCGGAGAGGCCGGGGTCAGGCGCAGACGGAGGGCACCAGGGTTGGCGGCGGGCGCGCTCAGGGGCACCTGGCGGCCCCCGCGCCCCCCGAAGCCCGCGCCTTACGTGGACTGGAGTGCTCCAGAATGCAGTGCGCCACGTAGGCCGGGTGGCTGTGCAGGTTCCTGCACTTCTTGCAGAAAAGGATCTCGCAGCGCGCACAGCCCCCCGCGCGAGGAGGCCGGCGCCTCGTCTCCAGCACGCAAGGCGGCTCCGGGAGGCTCCTCTTCCTGCGTGGGGCCCGGGTCGCTCAGTGCCCCGCGCCGTCCCTTCCCGCCGGGACGCTCGGTGCCTCCCCCCGCGGTCCCCTCCCGCCGGGACGCTCAGTGGCCCCCGCGGTCCGCTCCCGCCGCCCGCCTCAGCTGGGGTGCGCCCTCACCTGTCCGCGGGAGCCGCCAGGCCGCCCAGCAGCGCGAGCGGCCCGAGCCAGCCCCAGAAGCCGCTGTCCGCGCGTCGCAGCAGCGCCACCTGCTGGGTACTGGACTCCTGGCGCAACGGGCAGTAGGACACCGAGCCTCTCTCGCGGCCCTCGCCGCCCTCCGCCTCCCCGCGCGGCGCCTCGCCCTCCGCCCCACTCTGCTCCCGCGGCCTCGCTGCCGCCGCCTCCTCCTCCTCCTCGTCCTCTTCTTCTTCCCCTTCCTCCGACCCCTCCTCTGCGGCCGCCTCCGCCTCGCTGGACGGCGGCTCGGCCAGTTCCTTCTTCCACAAGGGGGTCTTCACTCCTGCGGGGCGGGTGGGGGCGGGGGTCAGCGCAGGCCCTCTGTCCCCCGGGAAGAGCCGGGTACCCCGACTGCTGGCCAAAGCCCGACACCCCCACCCCCAAAAAAGGCAGGCGCCTGAAGGACCGTGTGCACGGACTGCCCTAGGCTAGCAGGATCCCAAAGCGAGGATTACAGAGTGTGCAGGGTGATTTCCAGGGTGAGACCGGGCCTGCCGGGCTGCCTCCCATTTCCCAGGTTTCTAGGCTTCCTCGCTGAGGATTCGGAGCAAGTCACGTCGCTTCTGTCCAGCTCCGTGTTCCTATCCGTAAAAGTAATGCTCATCTCCCGGGGGGCTGTGAGGCAGGTAGCAGGTCTCTGTCAAGTGCCCAGCCCAAGGCTGGCCTTAAGCCCAGACGTGGCAGCATCTCGGAGGAGAGAACCCACGGGAGGCGCGCGCACACATACAGACACACACACACACACACACACACACACACACCACCACCACCACCACCACCACCACCACCACCGGCAGACCAGTTAGGAAAAGGCTGCCCTGGGAGTGAGCCAGTTAGGAAAAGGTGTTTGTTCTTCCTTCCAGACTTGATCCCAGTTACCAGCTGGATTTCAGCCACCAGTGTCCCTCCAGCCTTCTGTAGAGCACAAACTTCGGAACTCAGAACAGTAATCGTGGCAGGCTGGACGCTGTGGGATTGCCATGGGAAGTAACCTGGCCTCTCCGGGGCAGGACTCCACCACTCAGCAACCTCCTACCCTCCCCCCTAGAACAACTCTGTATTTGTGCTCCTCTTTGCTGGATTGGGGAGCTAGACTTCCACGGAAAAGCAGGGAGATGAGGGCTGGGGAGACACCACTGTGGTTTGCCCTGGAAAGCTCAAGAGAATTCCTATTGGTCTCTGCCCATCCTGTTTAAAAGAGGCTGGGGACAAAGGAGCATGACACAATTAGTGTTCTAGCTCACATGTACTGAGCACCAGCTGTATCCAGTCACTGTGAGAAATTCTTCACACATTGTGCCCCTTCATTTTCACAACCACCTCAGGTAGGGGGGAGGGAGGTAACCAAGGGGACTCTGAATTTCATCCAAGATTTCCAAAAGCATTCCCAAAAAAGTTGTTTCAAAGAATCTGCCAGTTCTCGATGTTGCTGAAGCTGGAAAACCAGGGTCTGCGGCACTTTTTGTTAGAAAACACACTAAGGAGCCTTTTGGTTGTGAAAGGCAGGCTTAGTGCACAGCCAGAAACAGATGCTGGAAATTTTTTGAGAGAAGTGGGAATAGGAAATGAGGTTAGAAAGGAAGGTTGGGACTTTGGGTGCTAGGCTATGGAGTTCCGAGTCTGCCCTTCAGGAGTGGGGAGCCGCTGAGCATTCTGATGGAGGGCCGTGCTCAGAGCTGTGTTTTAGGATGGTCTCTCTACAGGACAAAGACACCCACATAGGCATTGTCACAGCAGTCCCTGCCAGAGAAGACAAAGGTCCAAACAGCAGCAAGGAAGATGAAGGAGATGTCAGGAATATTCAGGAAAGAGAGAGAAGAGGTCTTGTACAAGTAACTGAGAAAAAGCTGGACTTCTTCTCTGGGGTCGTCATGGTGATGGATGAGCTGGTCCACACTGGGTTTGCAGCCACACTTGACAGGAGTCAATGGGCCTGTCCTCAGTCTCCAGCCCATCTCCAGCACCACTCACCATGCTTATCCATTCTTCCTAAGGCTGTGCTGCCCTCTCCTCCGGATCAGAGACTGAGATGAGACAGAGTTCCCAGAACGCGTGGAACTTTATCTGATCTCTAGGGCCTTTGTTGGATCACAAGGGGTGGGGCTGGAACTTCACCTGCCCTTAGGGTTCTACCCAGGAATAGCTGCCTTTTCTAGAACCTCCAAGAGCACTTGAAATCCAGGTGCCCCCTCACCTTCCCTCTTGGCAAGGGATTAAAGGGGAGAAAGGGGTGACTTTGGCTGCCAGTAGACTGGGTTGCAATCCCAGCTTTGTCATATAAATGTAAGAGCTATGTGACCTTCAGCATGTTGTCTGACCCTCAGTCTCTTCATCTGTAAATCAGAGACAGTCACACAGTACCAGACTTTACCTGGCCCACAGAAAGCCCTCCAAGCATTATGTTTACTTGTATCATTATGTTCTCTCCTCCCCTTTCTGTCTTTTCTCTATCCTTCCTCTCCCTGGCTCCCCACTCCCCTTACTTCCAGCTCATTGCCTTAGCTCCGAGAAGCCGAGGAAATGCCTCTAAGTCCAGTAGGAAGCAGGGTCCAGGCAAGAGGTGGGTGTAGCTCCTGAATGTCGTGTATGTGTCTGTGAGAATTGGAGCAGGGGGAGGGAATAAAATCATGGGGCCTTGGAAACACAACTTATTTTCCAGGCCTTCTCAGAGGTGTGTGTTGTCAGAGACAGGAGTAGGCAGAGGGCTCAGAGGATGCAAACCCAGCTCTGGAGAGCCTCCGTCTGAGGGAAAAATGACTTGGTTTCCATCCAAGTCTGAGGGTGGAGGGGAGTGGGGTCTCCCAGTTTGAGGGAAGCTGGTGGGTGGGATATAGAACAAGGAGCATAGAACAGCTCTTGGGAATCTGCTAGTCACAGAGGGGCCAACCTGTCAAGAACTGGGAGGGGTCTGAACTTGACTCCTCTTGCATGCTAGCGAGTTTGCTTGCCAGGGCGTCCAGGGTGTGCCAAAAACATGAGGCTCCTGGATCAGAGACAAAGGACTGGATTCCTCGTGGTACAGCAGCAGCCTATTCCTGTCGGCACTGCCTGCCCCTTGTCCCCTGGGTGCCATGGGGTTGGGCCCGTGAATGCCTGCACATGGGGGGTTCTGCATCACCAGAGAAGCTCTGAGCGTAGCAACCTAAATCTTCTATAACGGGCAGCACACAAGTCTGCACTTTGCTCCAGAAAGAGAGGCCATCACTATTCTCCAAGATTGTTCACTCTATTAAACACCCTTGAAAAGTCAGCGCCTCTATTTGTGAGACAAAGCAGAATTGCAAAAGGCCCATGGAGAATTGTCTCCCAGTAAACCCATTCTCCTTATGTTTACTAAAAGAACCACTGTGGCTCTGGATGGCAAAACTCTAAAGCTCACTCTGACTAATTTAAAGAGAAAGAATAGTGGAAGCTCACAGAATGGCCAGAAGGCTTGGCAATTGGACAGGAACTCTAGAGGGATTGTGAACACAGCCAAGATCCCACCACAGGAACGCCCCAATTGAGAAGCCACTGTGGGGGCCACCCCTGGCCACTGGCACCAGGAACGACCTTCTTGAGTCACCACCTAAGATTTAATGTCCCTGGTGCCCCAGGCACCTCCAAACCACTGAGGCTAGGTAGTGGCTTTTAGGGAACATCCTGCCAAGAATCACAAAAGGGGGTTCCTCTGGTCTGGTCATTGATTTCATCCTGCCTCTCCCCCTTGGTTCTGCCCAGAAGCCCTTTATAATCCTTAGGGTGTCCATTCATTGTTGTTGGGTTGTTGTGTGGGTTTTTTTTTTTTTTTTCCCATTCACTCTTCTCAGGGATATTTTGGGTTTTGTGGGACCTTTCTAAAAAGTTGGATTGTTATAACAAACAAATACCAGCATAAAGCCACATGGGAAATTGATCACAGAGTCGTAATACGGTCTGCAGTGAAAGCAGGACAACAGGTAGTTGTTGTCACGACAACAACAGTTGTTGTCACGACCAAAACAGAAAGAAAGGTTCCTCAGGGCCAGGACTTCTCAGAAACCCTCCAGCAGGCTTCTTTGAGCCTCAACTGGCCAGAACTGAGGCATGCACCCCTCCTAAGCCATTTGAGAAAAGAAACAGGAGGGCCAAGATTGACCTGGCCTGGTTGTAATTAATACTTTTGGTCAAGTAGGCCTCAGGGAGTATAGTTATAAAATAATCTTTTTTTTTTTTTTTTTTTTTGCCTCCTGTAGTCCCTTTAAACCTGCTCAAGGGGAAGAAAGCTTCCTTCCCTTGTCCCTGGAGGACAATTCAGACAGGTCTTATGAATTGTTCAGGCCACAGAAAAGTGGGCACTGTGGTCACTGAAAGCTGATACAATGTTACCTCTCCCCCCAGCTGGGACCTGCCATGACCGGTGGCCACAGTGTGATGGGGTGACAGGCAGAAGACGTGGTCCTCCCTCCCTCTTGCTCTGCCTCTCCTTCCTTCTCAGCTGACCCACCACTGCTGTTTGCCTTTCCTGCCCTCATCCAGGCAGTCTCTTGGGTCTAGGAAGATACACTGGGTTCTGGGGGTCACTCATCCCCCCTGCACCCCCAGGAATCCTCTGGTCCACTGCCAGCTCCCCCTCTACTGAGGTCTTCCCCTCTATTGACCTCTCCCTTGGCGGAGCGGCACACAGGAAGCACTCACCCATCCTCTGTTCCAGCTCTGAGGAGACTGCTTGCTGATTCCAGCGCAGCCCTCTCCTTGGTCTCCAGCATGGAGCAGCTAGCAGGCCCAGAGTTTGCATTTTCTGTCTCCCACACAGGAGTCAGACAGACAAGTTCATTGAGTCTCCCTAGTGATGGGGGATGAACGTCTAGTTCTCTGACTGGTCCCACTGAAGCCCTTCTCTCTGCTTCTCCCCTTGTTGAGGCTCAGTCGGTTAAGCGTCTGCCTTTACCTCAGGTCATGATCTCAGGGTCCTGGGATCGAGCCCCGCATCGGGCTCTCTGCTCAGCGGGGAGCCTGCTTCCTCCTCTCTCTCTGCCTGCCTTTCCTCCTGCTTGTGATCTCTGTCTGCCAAATAAATAAAATCTTAAAAAAATAAAACAAACAGTTATTCTTTTGCAATTCTGAAGGTCAGAAGTCTGAAATGAGTCTTACGGGACTAAAATCGAGGCACTGGCCAGGCTGGTTCTTTCTGGAGACTCCATGGGAGAATCAGCTCCTTGCTTCTTCCAACTTCCAGAGGCTGCAGAGTGCCTGGCTTGCGACCCCCTTGATCTCCGCTTGACCGGCACATCTCTCCTACTTCTGCAGTCAGGCCACCCTCCGCCCCATACTTGTGATCACATTTCATGTCGGCCTTGACAATCTGGATGAGCTACACAGTCCCTTTGGCCCTCTAAGGGGACATCCACAGTTTCTGGGCATGAGGACACAGCTCTCTGTGGGGGCCATTCTGTGGCCTGCCATGAGACCCACAGCACAGATGCAATTCTCTGCAAACCGTCTCCCGCTCTGCAACAGCTTAACTCTTGACAGAGTCTAGTGGGAGAGAAATCTGAGCATCAAGTGGCCGCTTTTGGATAATGCCTCAATTAAGAGTGCATACAGTCTTTTGGGGTTTGCTGCCTCTACTGTGTCTTGGAGCCTCAGCAGAAACGTCAATCTTCGCTCTGCCACGACTGACTTGAACCTACCAGGGTTCCTCTTCTGGGGCTGGGGCCCACCTTCCCGCATTTCAAGGAAGCTCCAGATACTACCTGAACATAATAGGATTTTATTAGCACACATGAAAAAACAACTAGCCCTTCTGTACAGGGATAACCAGCCTCTAGGAAGGTTCCCCATGGCCCCTGACTCCTGGAATTTGTGTTCCAATACAGTGCCCTCCCATGTAAGGCCGACCTGGGTGACCAATGGGTTATCGTGGAAATGACAGCATGACTTTCCAGGCTGGGCAGTGAAGACACTGGCTTCTGTCTTGCTCTCTCCCCCTGGGGAAGACCAGCTGCCACTTTGCCAGGACGCCCAGTGGACCCTATGGAGAGGTCTGTAGCGGGAGATAGAGAGGCTTCCTGCCCACCTCAGTTTTCTTGTTCCCTCATCCACGAAATGGACACAATAATCACGGTCCTGATGCCTTTTGAAAATAATTGAAAGGAAATTATCTCCAAAAGTTAAAGAAAAGTGCCGCCTCATCTGGGCGTCCATGTCCCCTCTGCCTCATACCCTAGCTCCTGTCTGGAGGTTTCGCACTGGCTGTTCCCTCTGCCCACACACCCTCCCCGCCCCCCATACCTGCAGGGCCTGCTTCCTCATTACCCTCATGCCTCTGTTCAAATATCACCACGTCAGTGAGGCTTTCCCTTGACAAGCTCACATAAAATGCCACACACTGTCCCATCTCCCTTAGTGCTTTCCTTTTCTCCCTGGTATTTATCGCCATCTGACTTATTGTGGATTCACGTGTTTGTCACCTGTCACCCGTCCCACCCCCCAACATGTACGGAGCCTCCATATTGTTCTCTCTTCAGGCCTGTAATAGTGCCTGGCACATAGGAGGAACTTCCGAATATTTACTGACGGAGAGCTTTGCTGTGGCCAGGGTGAAGTGCTGCGGTTTTGACAGCGCACAGCCGGCTCTAGAGGAATCCTGTGGTTAGAGTGGGGGATGGAGCAGGTTCTCAGAGAAAGCAGGGATCACGGGGCATCAGCAGGGCTGCTGGGAGAATCAGCGAGAGCTGGGACCCACCCCGCCCCGAGTGGGCGCGTGTCCTGAAACTTTCCACCTACATCATTCCTTTACTCCTCAGAGCACCCCAGAGGTCGACACTATTCCCCTTGTACAGCTGAGGAAACTAAGGCACAGAGGGGCAAGGTGGCATATGAAGGTCACAGAGGGATACAGGGAAGGGGCCAGGCGTGAAGTCATGTCTTCAGACTACTGCGCCGTGTCTCCTTCAGCCCCACCTTACAGTGCTCGCTAAACACCAAGGGGCTCAGCAACCCCGGCCCTGATTTCCTCCCCCACTCCCTAGCCCCCCAAAGCTTCATCCTTCAACCCAGGGAGAGAAACCAGCCCCGA